AGCTGTTCTTAAATCCTCAAGTTATCTGTTGGGATCTATGGACAAGACTCCAAGTTACTCTTACAAGAGAACTTACTGCTCACTGCCCCCCACTCTTGGGGGCTCCTGTACATCTGTGAAATCAGATCTCGGCAGAGAGATTGGAAAAAAAACTCATTTCCCAATACTTGACTGTCTTATGTATTTTACTTTTTCCTATACTGTCTGCTGTTGATTTGAGGGTCTCGTTTGAACTTATAAAGTGTTGCCTGGCTTGGTCTGCAAGCCTGCAGTCCTACCACTCTAAGAAGACAAGCCAAACTTTTCTTGGAGACAGAACGCGCGTGGGATGCACTGCGATACCTCCCGCCACCGTGTCGATGCCGTGTCAGCAGGAGTGATAAAGCAGGCAAGCTACTTCTTTGGGAACCACAACAGAGGTGAGTCCCAAAGTGGTTTGAAGTAGCACTGTATTATTAGGAGCTCCTCTTTTGCATGAGATGCAAAAAGAAAGTCCCTAATTTGAGAAGTCAAAGTGGGCTCAAGCAAGCTCCAAAAATCCCTTTGTCCCTGAATTCTAGACAAGTTGTAGTCCAGGATTTATTGTTCAGCTCCTCCACTACCAAAGCAGAAAAGCAGCACAGAGCCAAAGGCTCCTGGAACTTTGGGGAAATGCTGATACACAGTCAAGCCTGTTTGGGGAGACTGGTGCATAAGGACTGCACCACCACTGCTTGTGGTGGATATCAGCTGGATTATTTCCACAGACAACAACAGCTACGTACAGAGTCAGTGGTCATTTGGGAACGAGAAGGAGAAGCCACAGCTGAAGACGGTCCAAGTGAGGGGTCAGCCTTACCTAGGTAAACAGTGGATGCTTCCAGTGATCTCACAGCTGCACCATAAATGCCCAAGTGCTTTGAATTCAGATTGTTGATGATCGCTTCCACCAGACGAATCAGCACTGGGTTTAAGGCATCTCTGAGCGTGACTATCATCAAATATAGCGCCTCCAACGCCTGCTGCTTCACTTTCTTGTTGTAATCACAAAGCCTCGGGACAAAATGATCAAAAATCTGTGAAGAAAACAAAAGGCATGAAAGCTGTATTAAAATGTCTTTGTTTTAAGAAAGGATGTAGAAATGAGTACTCAGCAATGTAAAAGATGAAAGGAATCCTTTCTGTCAGGTCAGTGCTTGCTGTTTTCCTGTGGGCTGCTCTCTGGAATGCTTGAGCAACCTCAGGCTGGTTGAAAGATCTTCATATGTTTTTAGGAGGTTTGGGTGGGGACAGTAGAGTTCCTGTGGTGTTTCTCTTCACCTATAAATCATTAAACTAATCCCATTTGATTAATGAAAACCAGTATTCTTGTTATAGAAAAGTATGAAACCATTTTCCCCTACGGTTGCCTCAAGTACGGAGGGTGATTTTGATTTTGGCAAAACTGG